CTAGACTTTCTCCCTGGCTTCGCTCTAGAAGGTTTCCCCAATCGCGACAGCATCATGTACAAGGATTACTACGGTTTGCAGAATGCTAATACCATGCTACGAGGTACGCTCAGATTCAAAGGCTTTTCGAATACCGTGATGGGTCTACAATTACTTGGCCTGATCGATCCCAATCCAGATCCCATCTTGCATCCGAATGGACCGGACATCACCTGGGTGCGTACTTTCAATTTCCTGCGTACACACAGGATATATCGACTTTCTTCCAAACGCTCGTCGTTTAAATTCTAGCGAATGTTGGTGTGCAACCTACTTGGCCTGGCGAACGACAATATCTTCTATGGGAACCTGAAGCAGAAATTAAGAGTGAATTCGTGGGAACGCGTCAAGGCCATCGAGGATCTCGGTCTTCTGCAAGAGGACTTGGTCTTGAAACTAAACACTCCTCTCGACACGCTTACGCATTACTTGTCGAAGAAACTCTATTATGAGAAGAATGAACGCGATTTAGTGATACTGAGACACGATATAGGTATACTTTGGCCGGATAACAGGAGGGAATCTAAAGGGATCAACTTGGTCCTCTATGGAGACATTACCGGACACTCTGCAATGGCGCGTACCGTCGGGTATCCTACGGCTATAGCTGTCAAAATGATCCTAGATGGTTCGTAGTCTTTCTTTCTATGATTAGTTATTCAATTTCTCAACTAGTGAAAGCTGCTATACTAATTGGCTACATTTTTTCTCGCACAAGATATTTAAAAACCGCGATTACTGCCAACAAGGATACATAAATATGTCTTCTACATATAATCAAATTATTATATAAATGCAATCTAAACATATAAATTATATTTCCCCAATAAAATAAGCTTAGAGCTTATAAAAGATAATTAAAAAGATTTCTTTTTCGAAAACATTAATATAAATTATCGCAATGTTCTGAAAAAAGATATTTATTTGAATGATTTAGATATTAATCTAATTCAAAATGTGGTGTATTATAATCAAATATTCATTTCCATGTGCGATTTTACTTTAACATCTATACAATCTAATTTCGTTCAGGTGAAATTCAGCAACGTGGAATGGTACTGCCTTTTACGCCTGATATATATCGACCTATTCTTAATCGGTTGAGAGCTGAAGGCCTAGAATCCTTTGAGACTTCCAAATGGCTGTAATTCATTCACCACAAACCACCATAATCTTCTAACGATCGTATGTATATAATATACCCCTCTGATCCATCAAAAGAACTAATAAGAGTCTATATATTTTATTAACTTAATACGTAAATGAAAAAATATGTATAATAAAAAAATAGTTTATATTTTTTTTATATTATGACCAAAATATGTAAGCTATCATATAGGTATAATTAGTTTAAACATAATATTTTAATTAGAAATACTAAACAAAATATGTGTTCGCGATAATCTTTTTTCATTTCCCATTCCCTACCTACATAAATCAAAAACAATTTCTGCATTTTTAAACTCTCTTTCTCGCATTAATAAGTGTTTTAATGGAAAAATCGGGAAGACGGGAAATATTTAATTTGATATATTTAACATTTATTGATATTACCACCCCAGTGTGGAAAATGGCTAACAATACAATGATATCTCGCTTATTGCAATCTTTTTTTTATCGCAGTAATTCTATAATCGCTTTAAGATATAATTAGAATGATAACACAGGAACACTCTTCGCCTCTACCCGTTAGAATCTAATTGGAAATGAATCGATTTTACGCGCCGAAACAATCGGAAGCTTCCAACGAATTTGCACCGGTAAAGTAATTAAGCTGCAGCCGTGATTTGCACATGTCCAGTATCACACGTCTATGGAACACGACTAGCTGATTTGTGTGACGAATTCAATCACTCTTTGCAAGAATTGGATAAATCCAATAACGATGATTGGCGTTATTCACTGCTGACATTTTAATCTACAGAATTTGTGCTGACTAAATAAGAGTATTTAAAAGATGGTAAAATAGTTGATTTATATATATATATATATATA